ACAAAATATAGGAAATATTCTGAAGCAGGTATAAAAATAATAAGATAATAAAGAAATAGAAAATAAATGTTGACTATTTTATATATTTTTAAAATATTTCTTCTATTTTAAATAAACCTTTAACAAATTTCGCAATCCTACAAAGCTTCCTCTTAAAGTAAACTAGGTTCTCTATGAAAAACTAAAGATACAATTAAAAAATTAAGTTTAACGACTAATCTAAGCCACTTAAAGTTTGTTTTACGATCATGTAAACATTGGTTTCTCTGAGCACTTAAAGCGAGTAATTAAGTTTATTAACTGGTCCACTCTTCCCGGATTTTACTGTACTTGTTTGCCCGATTTGGCCCACTTTGCGAACTGCGGCATTTCGGCTTTCTGCGATTGGCGATCTGCGATTTGTATCTGCGAGATACAAACATGCTTTTAGCAGCATTATAAACATTTTGTTGCCCAACATTTTTGCTACTATTTGTCATCGCTAACGCATTCCGCGAATCAAAATTGAAATCAAAATCCGATCCGATCCCAAAAGGGGATCTTTAATTGCTTTTGATAAATCGCCGCTTAAGCCGCTTAAGTATTTCGCCGGGGTTTTATATTTTCGACTAATTTTTCAGTGCACTAATTAAACAAAGGACACATATATATTTTAAGTCCGCCATATGAATGTGTTTTTTATGCGCGGACCTCGAATAAATTGGAGTTTGTCTGATTGGATTCGGATAGGTAAACCGAAGGGTGGGGGTCTGATTGGTCTGTGGCTAATTAGCGTGGGGGGCAATCCATCATCGGGCAAAAGACCGCATCATCACTTCCCCACAAAAAAAAAAGACCCAACTTCACTTCACAACAAACTCCCCACATTAATTCGGCATTAAATTTCATTTTCAATTGTGGCCGCAGCCGAAAGCCAAGTCCAAATCGAATCGGATGAATCGATTATTGGGCAATTTCGTATATGGAAAAAATTACAACGTGTCCATTAGATTATTAACTTGGCTCGCAAACGAAAAACCTGCTGTGTTCGTTTGGCTCTTTTCTGGAGTTGGCTCATTAAAGCGCTCCAAACTGAAGCGAAGTCGGCCGTCGCGCCTCCTTAGTTCAATTATAAAGCAATTGAATTAGCCTACGAGTATCCAAATGGCTCTCTGATCCCCGGCAATCCATCAATCAGGTAATCCAGCGATTACGCAACTCCAGACTGCCAATTTTGGCGCGTGAGTTTCTTGGGCTAATTGAAGGCGAAGTACGCGGCGGCGTGATGTGCAAATTTGGGTATTCGATTTCTGTGTTTTTGTGTGGAAACTGGGTTACCGGCTTACTGGGTTAAATGTGCCACGCGGGTTAAGGGGTCTTTACACCCAACGGGGGCCGAAATTAAATTGCGCAAGTCTGCCCTTTGGAGAGGGGTCATAATATTACAAGCTAATCAAATCATAATTGTTATTTTTTAATTTAGAAAAATTATAGTTTAAAAATTATTTATATGTTATAATTTAATAAAAAATTCAAAGCTCATTGTTTATAATATTTTAAATATTTACACGCCTTTTTAATGATTTTTAGACCTAATTGATACACCATATAAAATATACTGAACCTCTTCAAATCACACATGTTTTCCGTCACCATTTAATTCCCTTATAATTATTCAGCTCTTCACAGCTTTGTAAACGGAATGGAATATGTTTTATTCTGCTATCCCTTAGTTGGAATATTGCGTGCTTCGCTGGAGTAAAAACTCTGCCCACCTTTCAAGTCCACCGGCACGCGCCTCATAAAAATACATAAACTTCAGTGTCGACAAAATGCGGCGTAATCATTTGGCAGTGAAATCGGAGGTGGATGGGGTTCCCAGGTTCCCTGTTTTCTGTTCCATGGGTCCAGTCAATTCCATGTGCCATCATCGGAAAGTCAGACGGTCGTAAAAACAACCCCAGAGGTCAAACAATTTTGTGGCACAATTTTAACACCTTTTAGACCGGCACACGAGCCAACTGTCCGAAACTGTAGCAAAGGATCCTCGGAATATTTATGGGAAATGGGAATGGTATCTGAAAGGAAAAGCAGGGAGGACACTGAAAAAATATAAGAAAAATCGCAAATGAGAATAATGAAATAGTTGTAAAATATAATAAGTAAATATACGTTTTTAAAATCTCTCACTATTTTTAAAATTTATTCTAAACATTTAACACATTTAGAAATATTTATCCTTTTATTAAAATATTTTCAGAATTATTGAATAACTAACTAAAGTTAATTCTAAACGGAATTGCATTTCGCTCCTTCATAAAATCCTAGAATATTTCCTATTTTTCCCTCAGTGTCTGTATGCATTTTTATGTATTTTGAGTCATCCGAAGTCGTGGCAAAAATCGTGGCAGGACACGCGACCCCGAGCGCATAATTTAATTTTCAAGGATCCCCGCGATGGACAAGATGGACGGGGGTTGGAAAATGCGAGGGACGTGCGTGTGACATATGGTTAATGAAAACGTTAACTGATGATAAACTGGCAAACTGGAGAGTTCTAGTCCCTCTGCATATTAGTTCCTGACATTATCATTAATTAGCGACGGAAAGGGGACCAACACTAGAAAAAAACGCGATAGGCGTAGTGTGATAAATGTGGGGCGCTCTTGAATTTAGCAACGTTTAGCATGCAACAGTCGATGCCGACTTCCAAGTTGGGCTCCTAACTATCACCACTACTATTCCGCTGTAACTGCGCCTGGAAATCCAACGTCCAACGCATCTTCCACGGTGAGTCAGTTCGTGGGCTTTAATGCGGCCCCGGTTTTTTACATCTTTTTTCTCGGCTAATGTTTTTCGCCTGCCCGCCCATGTGCCATGTGCTTTGGAGCTCTTTGGGCCACTTTTGCGGTAGAGGTACTTTAACCTTTTTAAATACTTTGTATTACTAACTAAAGAAACATTATAAATTACCATTGATTTTTTTTTTATTTTTTAAATATTTATTATAATTATATTTAGAGTTATTCGTAGAAATAGGTAAAGATTTTTTCTATAAATATATATATTTTTTCTATGGTTAATAAAGATAATTTTAAAAATTATTAATAACATAATTAATAATAATACTTATTTTGTAATATTTATATCTAAAAAAACTCTCTATATTTCAATTAAACAATTCGTTGTTCCCAATATATTATCATAAACTTTCAAAGGGTACTTCCCCAATCGACGTTCCCTCACAAATCTTCCGCGGTTGTCTTTAAGTTTGTTTCTTCCATGTAATTGGTCTTTGTTTGCCATTTGATGTCATGTTCTCTGGGCTTTGGGTTCTCGATTCTTTGGGCTGTTGTGTAGGCTGCAGGTTGTCTGTCGTCTTTTTATTTTATTTTTTATTTTTTGTATTCTGTTTTTCTGTTTTTAACTCACAACGATTGTGCAACACGCAATTGCGATTGCTTTCATGGGCGCTGATTCGCCGCTCGCTGGCTGCCATTTGCATGGAAATGGAAATGTTTGGCCAAATTACGCGTGCTCTTGGCTCAGTTTATGGCCCATAGCCCCCCTTTTCCGCCGCCCCTGTTCGCGTTTATTCGCGCTATATTGTTGTAAATTATTGCGGCTCCTTTGCGACTCTCAGGCGGATGTGCGCAATTTAAAGAGCCAGTTGCGAGTGTTAGATTGTCACTCGAATGTGGCAGAGGTGTTGGCCGCACTTTGGGCCAAAGTTATGGTACGACAATGATATAAATGAAATGTTTTTTAGGTCATAAGAAATTTAATTATTGGTGGAATAACTTGAATAACAAAATAATCTTAAAGATTAATATGATACTCATTTCTATAATAATTTAGCTTATACAAATTTGTTTAAATTATTTGTATACAATTAATTAAATAAATAAATATATAGATGCTAGGTAAACCCTGTTAGATATTCTTTTACATTTTTAACTGGTAGTAAAAAATGTATAAGAAAATGTTTTATTTGTCACTGGTATTTATTCCCCTTTCTAAAAACTATAAAGGTACCTTCATAAATACCTTGCCATCATTACATGCCTTCAAGGAATAAATAAGCCAAATAAGGCGACTCTTCCGCGCAGTAGCTATCAGTTTAATTGAGATTGATTGTGGCCAACTTCCGTTCCAGTGCGTTCCAGTTCGACTCGATGCGAGTACATTCCCCAGAAGACCCGATACTTGGCCCCCGATAAGGGACTCTGTGTGGGCACCAGTCGCCCCGTGACATCTGCGATCTCTTGATTCCTGGGGTCGACCAAGATTTATGGCTCCTGTCACTGGCTTCCCTTTTCGCTCCTTTGCCACACTTGCTCATCTCACACGTTGCAGTTGCATTGATTTTTGTCACTTGGGGCAGCCGATTGGCATCGCATCGTCGCGTGCCCCACAATTAATCACGGGTATCGTACCTCCGCCTCCAGGACAAGTATCGAGTATCCGTATCGAGCTCATAAACGACAATCCGCCTGACATATGAAGAGTGATGTCCAAGTCGCCGGCTGCAGGAAGCGATTGTTCATTGTGCCACCGCAGTTTCGCAGATGGAAATCAATAAGGAATTTTATCAATAAAAATTGGAAATTGCTTACTAGTTACACACAAAGATGTTCCCAAAATAAAGATACATATTTAATGATGGGTAATACATTTGAATAGATCATTTCTTACTAACAGTTTTATGAAATGCCTTCAACTTTTTACAAGGATAATTGTATAATGAATGAAAAAATATAATATATTTTCGAAATTACAATATAAATTCTTCTTGAAATTTTTGTAGATAATTACACATTTTTTGGTCTAGCAGAAAATGGAATTTGTGGTAAATTTCTTTCCTAAGTTTCTTTGAAAATTAAGTTTAAACTTCGGACACTGTTCATGACATCTCTGTGTATGAGTACATATATCTTTTCTGATCTGTGCAGAAAGTGCGAATATGTATGTAGTTTCGGCTTCTAGCAAAGTCCAGTTTTAAATCCATGAAAAGTTGTATTCTAGAACATGAAGTAGCTTGCAACGCTCATGATTAACTTCAGCCCTCGGCGAGGATTATGGCGCATCAGAAGGTCCAGCGAAGGGTCCACGACTATCGCCATGATGATGTCTCCACGGATGAAGATGCGCCTCGCAGGTCGGTAGTCCACCTTCAAGTACCGGATCCGTCGAGGAAAATCGATCCGCCTGCCCAGATTCCGGATTCGTGGAACCAGGACGGCCCGAAAGAGCGTGTTGCCATTTCGCGAATTCAGCGGTAACCAATGTTCTGGAATTCTCCTAATGCCACACGATAGTATCTCCCACTGGGGCATCAAACTCCTGGAAGATGTCCGAACTCCGGGGCCCAGCAAAAAGAGGACCCTGGGGCTTAATTTGAGTTGCAAACCGCGTATGCGCTCACTTCGCCTGGGTCTTTGAGACATGGTTTTAAGATCAGACCTTACTTTATATCACCAAATTCAATAAATTCTTTGGTCTTTGACGTTCGCTAACTTTTTCCAAGGCCTCGTGTAGCAATCGATAGCTTTACAACACTGGAATCGATTGTACCAGTGTTTGTAACTGAACTATTACACTATAAATATTTAAAATCATTAAATTAAAACCACATGTTAAATTTAAGACTTTTGCTGAAGGGTTTTTTAATTAGCAGAATTTTTACAAAATCATAGTTTAAGTCTCAAATATTTGATTTCCCAAATCCAGGAATCCAGTTTTATTGGAGAAAGTAGGCGGCAATGTCCAGGAGCAGGGACATTCCTCTGGTGGGATTTAGGCGCATAAGGTTCTCCAGCGAAGGGTTCACGATCAGGGCCAGTAGTAGGACTCCCCTGACCTCATGACCATACTCCAAGTTCCGGCCCTGAAATTGACGCAGGAACGGGGGATCCCAACGAGATACGGAGGAGTACCGGATCCGTTGGGGATAAGCAGGCGCAGGCGTCAGCGGTCTTGGTCCTGGCAACAACACCGACTGGACCATGGAAAAGGGGCTGGACAGATCCATCGGCAGGAAGAGGGTGCGGTTTGCAAAGGCCGGACCAGAAAGTATATGGAGGTGGCCCATGGAGCGTCTGGTCGTCCTTCTGCGCGATGAAGCGGGTCTTGCATCCAGAAAAAATAGCACTCGAGCTCTTTCAGGTGGCGGAGTGGACTCAAAACTACGCGTTCGGTTGCGATGAATGCGGATGCGTTCGCTGCGTCTAGATCCTTCGCTCAGGTCCATTGAATTGATTCAGAATTTACTTAAATTAGATTCAGAATAATTTTCTGACTGCCTTCTAGGATCTCACTTTGCAACACTGGATATGTCAACAATCAGTGCTGGCCAAAAAGCTTAAAAACAGCTATAACAGCTATAACAGCTATAACAGCTATAAAGCTTTAATGAAAAGATCTATTAATTTATAAAATGCCCTGTTCTCAGGTACGTTTTTTTCTTTAGGTCCTTTTACACGATTCGAATTTCAATGTGAGTTTTATGATATTTCGGTATTTGTTAAAGGAGAAGCCTACTCCAAAAGACTATGTTATTTCAACATCTTTATCATCCTTGGCCAAAACAAGAAAATTTCAATCGTGTAAACAGGGCTTAATGACTATCCTCTCACTCTACAAAAGTGCCAAGGCTGACACCGATTTCGATGTTGCTCCAAAGGATAGGATTGCCAGCTTTTGGCGCTAAATATGGTAAGTATGGTCATTAGTTTCGGCCAAGCACGACTCAGTTTATTCGCCCGTTGGCCACCTTTCGGCCCATTGAGCCTGTTTGCGCCTGATTATTATTATGCTTATGCTTATTATTGCGAAAAAGCGATTTCGCCGCAGCTGCAGCTCATTTATTGTTGTTGTAGGTGTTCAATTAAATATGCAAACAGTTTCGCAAATGTGTCTCGACTTGACCGAGTTCAAAGTCAGCTTGCCAGCGCATTTCCAGCGAAGTCTAGACTTTTGTCTTTTTTTCGCTGCGAAAAGTTCATTGCCAAATGCAGCAGCAGCAACCGTTTTCATTTCTGCCGTTTTTCTGTTTTTCAGTCGATCGATCGGTCGATCAACTGCAGCTGCATTGAGTCACAAGCCGGGCTGAAAAGCCCAGAAACGGACAAGAGAGACCGGCGGACAGCGGACAGCGGCCAAGTTCCCAACCTCCAACTTCCCAACTGCTAACTGCTAACAACGACTTTTTGTGGGCGGACACTGGCCAAATGGCTTTGGGTACCCTTTTCTAAGGGTGTCTTGAATTGGTAATGAACTCTGGTTAAGGGTGGTTGAAAAGAAAGAAGATTTATTGACTCCAAAATTAATTATTTTAAAACTAATCAGAGGTTGGGTCAATCCAAGTATTCGGTATTTAAGGGTTTTAAAAAGGAAACTGAATATTTGAAAAAAATGGTTTAGCTTAGTTTTTGGGTATTTCAAAAAATGTTTAAAATTATTTTGATTGTCAATTTCAACTATTTTTAAATTTAAAACATTATTATCAACATGGTATTCCCTTGTTACCATCGTTATAGAATAGGGCATTCGGCATTTCGGACATTCCCCACTTCGATTTCCCCTTCTTTGTATTTTCGATTTCACTGTGTTCTGGCTTTTATTTTCGTTATAAATTCTGGGCATAAGACCATATCGTTTTCATTTTGATTTTGATTTAATTTACGGTTCTCGGGCCACGGGCTCTCGCTCGGACACTTTGAATAATGTTTGTCTATTTATAAATATGAATTATTTTCCAGCAGATTAGAGAGACCCGGGCATTGTTGTTCGTGGCTCTGAAGTCTGTGGTCTGTAGCATTTAACCCGCCGATTGCTGTGCGCTGCATTTTTAATTGCTAATTAATTTCCCCGACACACGAAAAACAATGCGAGTGAGCGATAAGTGCGCTTTAAGTTTTCAATTACCCAGATATCTAGAGCCACACCCCCCTCAAGCGCCCCGAAAAACACCTGGTTAGGCTTATTTATCGCGTTGAGATTCGCATTATAAATTTAATTTAATTATACTTGAAGTGGTGCGTGGGCGTCTGTCTCTTTTTGTTTTGTTTTGTTTGGTTTGGTTTCCTCCGGGGGAAACGACGGCGAAAAGTTGCCCAGACTCGCACTAAACAGCAATTAAGCTTAATTATAGTTGTCGCCGTTTTTAGCCAGCTTGTCTTGTGTGTTCGGCTGTCTTGTCTTGTCGCATATTGTTGTATGCAAAGCAGGCGCACGTCTGGCCAAAAGTTTTGCCATTTTACCATTTTTACCTACGTAGACCAGGCCAACTCGGCAGACTAGTTAGCCGCGGTTCCTGTTTCGCGCTTTTCCGTTTTTTCGGTTTTCGATTTCGGCGGTTGAAGGAGGTGCACACTGAAAAAATACGGTCACTTTGGATCCGGCTTGAAGGACCAATTTTTAATATACTTTTTGTGGTATCTGATATCCTTGAAATAAATATATACATATGGGATATTTCTAATCCGATAATCAAGAACTAATATTTTAAAAAGTAATATACAAATAAATATATTGTTGTTATATTTTTATAAGAGTTTTATAACTTTTTATTAAATTTACTAAATATTTTTTATATTCTTTTTATATTTTTTATTTTTTAATTTGTTAGATACAAATATGTATTATATTTTTTAATCTTTGTCTTAAATGTACCCTAATGTTATTGCGGTGTACTGGTAGATGGCCATATCCCCCTGTCCCGCCTTTTGGCCAAATGTCTGTCACGATTACCAGACGGGCACGAGTGATGGCGTCTGCTGCTTTCCCCCTTTCGCGCCCCCTACGCCCCTGAAAAAACACCCCGGGGGGGTCCTCCCCCATTTGGCTAATGGGCGCTTTTATGTTATGGCCTGGCTTAAAATGGATGAGCCTGCTCAGGAGTTGCAATATACATGCATTTATCTGAATGTGGGTTTTGAGTCACTGTGGGTGTTGCGGCAGCTGGACTCGTGGCTTGAACGAAAGTAAAAGGTGTTGCCAAATTGATGTTAGTGGTGGAGGAAGTAGGAAATGCTAACAGCCGTAAAATAAGGGGACATCTTGTGGATTTTAATGGATTGGAGGAATAAATATATGAAGGTTTAAATTTTATTTAAATCTTTTTAATCAACTTAACAGAAAGTGTATCTCTAATTAGATAAATGTGCCATAAAAATAGATTCAGACAATATAAATTAGATAAGAGAACGATAGATCATTTAAGGCAAGGCATGGCCATTTCGTATGAAAAATAGAAACAAATCCACCCACAAGGAAGTGGAGTTCTTAATTATTGAATCACCTTTCGAATGGCTGAACATCTCATTCATTTCCATTCATTTGTTATTCGCTATTCACAATTCCCAGTCGATTCGCCCGGAATCAATCAAAGTTGCGCAGCGGGCTTAATTAGCTGCAAATTAAAACATATTCTGTGTATATCATTATAAACTCCACTGACACATTAGCCAAGTTGGCATAATGAGTGCACTTCAGCCCGGCTTTTGGCTTTTGGCGCACAAATTAATTGAAATCATAAGATTTATCACATCTGCGATCTGACTGGAATCGAATCAATTTCATAAGGCTTTGTTGCCCTCGAACAATATATATTTCTCGTATGGAGAGGTGGGTGCTGTAGATAGAAACCTTTGTGCGACGTACTATATGCATATAATATCCAGTTGTGGGGTCCCATTCCTACACGTACTTTAGGTTTATCCGGCGATCTTAAGCCAATTTAATAAGCGGGTTGCCCTGTTGTGGCCGCAAAGTTGAGCTGTCAGTCGCCAAAATGATTAATCAGCCGGCAACGCACCACAATTGAAGAGTGGTGCTGGAATGGCACTAGTTGTGGATGTGGATGTGGTTGGGGATGTGGATGTGCCAGTGGATGCTGAGATGCTGCGATGAATGAATGGGGCATGCCAATGTCTCAACGCCCACGTGAAGGGCATAATCGAGTACTTACTTACTCGGTAGTACACCTAAAGAAAAAAACTGTAGAACAAAAATTAAACATATATAATAAATAAATAAATAATAATTAAACCATAGTTTAACATATAATATCTAAATAGTAACTTTTAGTTCAATAAATACTCATTTTTATCACCCAGCCAGCCAACAGATCATATACATAATACCCTAATTAATTGCTTTTAAAGTTTCCTAAATTTATGGTAAGTCAAACTGGTTCCCCCCGAAAAGATCGTTAGTTCCTGAACTCTACCCTATAAATGAATACCCTCTCCAAGGGGCAAAAGCGAAATTACTTTTATCATCGCCCCAATCAAAACAACATGACGCGTTCGAATCGAAATGCAGGCAGACAATTGAAATTATTATTGTTATTTTTAACAATTTTTTTCGGGTCGCTTTCGAGGTTTGGGGAATGGGAAAAAGGGAAGGGGCAAAGACATTTGCTTGACATGTTTGTTTCGTGTACAAAATATTTTGATAATGATCGCGAGCCCAGTACAACAAAACCCAATTGAGTTCCAAGACATTTCGTTCACTTGCGGCATGGGGTCACACTTATCGGGTTTACATTCTCATCTAAATGAAATTATTGTCTTTTTAGTCGATAGAAAAACTTATGACGGCCCTTGTGACGTGTGGAGAGTTTCGAATAGATCTCTCGAATGGGGAAAACTTTCAATGATTTGTGTTTGCCTTGCGAGGCACGTATTGGGGAAATGTTAATAATTGTTTAAGGTCCAGGCGATTGCAATAAATAAGTGACAAACAAATCAAGCCGTGAATTGCTAATGGAATGAGCTTTTTAGTCTAAGTACAGTCACGCAGAAGTCGGTTGTTAAAGTGAAACTGGGAAATAAATTAGAAGAAATATTATGGGTATTATCTAAATCGGTAAAATATTAATATTTCATTTAAGAAAAACTAAAAATGGATTTGGAATGGGAAATGTTGTGATAATTGTGTTTTTATCGATATTTTTGCTAATAATGAGTAGGTGACAACTTTGTTAGGAAGTTATCTTATTTGACAGGACTTTTGAGGTAAGAAGCAGGCTTGGATATTTACTGTCCATTATTTCCACAGCTCCATCCACACCGGTGAGTTGTGAAACACTTAAAAACTATTCAATTTAATATATTTTACTCTGCTTCCAAGAAAATGCCGGCTAGACGAAGTGAGAGGCTTCGGAATCAGCGGATATCGGCGGAGGCAGCAGCAAGCACTCCCTCTGATTCAAACTCCGAGATGAGTCTTCGCCGAACTCGCAATCCGAATGCCCAGGCTGCAGCATCTCGAGGAGGTCGGGGATCCACCAGGGGCAGGAATCTATCAGGTCGCATTGCGAATCCTGCTCCTGCATCAACTGCTGCAACTCGTGGACAAAGAGGAGGCCGGAGAGCAGTGAGAGGAAGGAATATGGCCAGAATCCTAACCATTAGGCCAACAAATCCCATGGGGGCAAATCTGGAATCTCTGGACCTGGGAAGCACTGGAGCCTCGGACCCACCTGCCAACTCTTTTATCCCCATCTTTTCTCCGCCCAGGCCAAGCAGTCCTGCGGGTCAAAATATGTCTCTGATGCTGCGGCTGCAGCGCATGGGCACCGCCATACCCACCCAAGGTGACCCCCTGTCCACCGCCCGATTGCAGAAGGAGATCGCCGAGTTCGCCAGGGAGCAGACCGAAGGATGCCGAGTGCAGGTTGTGGACGGCAACCTGTTCCACTGGATAGCCACCATCCCGGGACCACCGGAAACCCCCTACGAGGGTGGGAATTTCAAGATAGAAATGGTCTTTCCCAGCAATTATCCCTTCCAGGCGCCCTACATTGCGTTCATCACCCGGATTTACCACTGTAATATCGCCATGTCCGGCCACATTTGCCTGGACATACTCAGTTCCCAGTGGTCGCCGGCCCTGTCGGTATCGAAGCTCCTCATCTCCATCATGTCCCTCATGGCCGATCCGAATCCCAACGATCCTCTGGAGTCGGGCATTGCCGAGCTGTATAGGAAGAATCGCACCCAACACGATGATCACGCACGCGAGTGGACCAGAAAGTATGCCAAAGAGTAGTGATTTTCAAATATATTTATTGGATGTTTTTGTGCCAGCACTTTTTGGTGGTTCTGAAACGGTTTACGATTTACGATTTACGATTTACGACACTAAGATACATACGATGGTGATATACAAATAGAATACATGGGACTACGGCTACTTAACCCACCTAGGTTCCGAATTCTGATTAAACATCTATGTAGATCTAGTGTCCTATATATGCAGGGAAATAAGTTTATACACGTTAACGTAATGCTATTATTAGCCTAGTTCCATTTGTGATTGGTTTGTTGTGGTGCCGGTTAAGTGCGGGTTAGTTGGTACAGTACAGTAGGATGATCGTTCTTTCAAGCGGGTGGTAATTTCATTTACTTAGCCTACTTCGCGATTGAGTTAATTGGGTGGGTGATATGATATCATAACGATATGATATCCCCACCCCAATTGGTTAGCTGTTCCTAGAGTAGAGTGTGTGTACCATGTAGTAGTTAACCTTTCAACTAAACGAATTCATTTTATCTACGCTAAAGTCCTTTGGATTGTGGTATAGTTGATTTTGTGGGGCCTGCTGACTGGGGCTCGTCGTGACCTTCGTGACCCCGCGTGACCTTCCTCATTTGTTCTTGGGCAAATGGCGCTTCATGTGGAGCGCCAGGTGATCGCTCCGCGCGAAGCTCCTTTCGCAGACGATGCACTTGAACGGTTTGGCCCCCGTGTGTTTCCGGTAGTGCCGGGTCAGCTCATCCGACCTGGCGAACCGCCACTCGCACTCGGGCCACTGGCAGGTGTAGGGCTTTTCACCTGGAAAAATAAAGAAAAATAATTTGGGATAAGTAGGGTGTTCAAAAAATATATTATTTAATTTATCTAGAATTTTGTAGAGGTTTAAGTAGGTTCAGAAAATAGTATTGTATAGAAATAATCTTTAACTTTGGAGAATATTGTGTGGAATTATTTCATCCTTTTTGAAAGGAGTTCGATTTTCCCATTTCAAATATAATAATAAAAAATAAAAATCTTAAAAACCCCTACTATAAAGCCATTTCACATCCCCAATTGATCTGGAAACATTGTGTAAATAGTTGAGAAATAATTGAAACCTCATTGTTCTGTGGGCATAGCAAAATGACAACGGCAGAACGGCAGCTGCAGCAGTTTGCTTACACAAGTTTGCATGTTGTCTATTTTGTGTTTTTTGTACTTTGTGATTTCTATTACCATTTTTCTTGGCAAAGCCAAAGACATTCGAAAAATTCCACCGGCCGGTCAGCGAAACTCTTTGTTATTCGTTATTGGCACCGCTCTATGACTAATTCAGACCCTCTGAAAGCCGAAAACATAACAAACATAAACATTCGTGTTCGAATTTAAATTGAAGTTGAATGAAATAATTATTGCGAGCGGAGATTTGTGAGTGAACTTGACATTTTTTGGTTGCCTGGCTGGATTTTGTGGAGCGAATCGAATGGTTTATGCATGGACATAATCCAATTGGATTGGTTTGGGGTGTGCAGAATTGAGATTTCGGTGCTGAAAGACAGAGGTTCGAAGGGATTTTATAGTTAGGAAAATATTAGAGATATTATTCTATTAATATTTTATTTTGTTTTAATAAAATTGCCACCCCAAACATCTCTTTCCCCAAACTTTCCCTTACTTATAGAGTTTTCATAGCCCCCTTGAACCCATTTCCCATCTCAATCTCGAGATCTCAGCCAACATCAAAGCGAGTAGACTTGTGATTGTTGTTTGTTTGATTTTGTACATCGAACAAACGCACAAATTTTGTTTGACTTTTTTTCGAATATTTTCTGGGGGCCCTCGAAGCGAAGAGATCTCGAGTGGCACTCAGCTGACACTTTGGCGGGGCTTTTCGGATTCGAATTGGGATAGAAACCCAATGCCCCTCGACTCGTGGCGTGACTTATTGGTTTATTTAGATCTCTTTTAATGAACTTAAGTGCCTCGAGATGCGAACATAATCGCAAGGGGATCTTGGGGGGCTTAGATGGACACGTGGGGCAGTATTTTCATTCCAAAATGATCATTCAAACGGCCAGTCGGTGAGTCATCTAGCCCAGAATGGGACATTAAAGACCTCCCCGGCCGTGGGAATTTAATTTGGCAATGATCACGGCAGCCGCACAGCCGCAAAAAAAACACAAAACACAAACGACTGGCGAACAAACAAAAGTTATGTAAATGTTGTTTTGTAATGTGCGATGAACGCAATGCGATAAGAGCAGCGGAATTACTTCATAATTTTACTTACAGCCGCGATAAGGCCATCGAGGCAATATAAATAAATTCAGGCTCCATCGGCGGACTAGAGCCCCCTGGCTAAAAACCACACTGGACTTCAGTGGACCATAAAAGACCTCCTCCAGTCGCTGGGCATAAAATCAAACTAATTTATGGCAGCGCGAACGTATTAGCAAACAAATCAGTACAAAATAAGCCTGTTCCAGCCCGAATCGAAGTCGAAATCCTAGGGCCAGGCTATGGGATACTGAACTGGAAAATAGTAGAGACTGTCGGCAAGATATGGCAAATTTATGCGTTCGCCGCCTGCATAAAGATTAGTTACCAAGTGATTTTCTAATCGACGCAGCCAGATAAAAACAAAAAGCCCAAATAAAAATGACAAATTTACGAGTAGAGGGGTTTTTGTGATGATAGGAAGATGGGAAATGTTGGGGAAAGGTTGGAAATAAAAATAAACAAAGAAAAAGCCGATTTCAAAATAGCTCCTAACTCCCAAATGAATAGATTGTTTAATTTATAAAGATTTTAAAAAATTTCCTTGTAGTTAAAATAGTTACTAAATTATTTTCTAATTTTTCAAGAAACAAATTTTTTGAGTTTAATAAAACCAGCAAAAAAACAAACAAAAAAAATGAAGGACAAATTATTTTTAAATACCACATTTCCCCAAAAAAAATCTTGCATTTCTACAGATCTTCTATTTTTGTAAAAAATTACAAGTTTAATTAAACCAGCAAAAAAAAATTAAAAAAAAAAATATATCAGACAAATCATTTTTGAATACCACATTTCCCAGTAAAAATCTAAAATGTTTACAGATCTTCATCAGAATCGAGTTGACTTGACCAATAGTTTTCCTTTTGCTAATGGACCTCTTCACTTCTTCTTCGCAAACGAAAGACTTAGGAAACGAACTGCCGCCGAACTGCGGACAGCTTGATAACTTTGGTAAATATTTGCGATGGAAATCTCTCAATCTCGTCACTTTTCCCGCCATTTCCCCCCCTGAAAATCTCAGATTCTCAGCCCGGCGTTGCTAATCAGCAGAGACAACAGCCCGGTGGCGCCTCAAAAATGGCATGAAAAATGTGTGTGCTTTGCGCCGAGGGGAATATCAATGAAATCTATGAATGGAATGGGCTGGGCTTTGCTACGCTAACTAACGCGAAAGCCAAACAAACCGACAGCCATCAGACGGTAGCAAAGCGTTGCTGTTTCTGCATCTCAACCACTTGGCCACTTCAGCATTCGAGGAATTGCGAAAGTCTCAAGACTTAAATCCCAATAAAAACCGGGACGGAATTTCGTGTTGGCCCGAAGCTGGGTGTTATTACGATGCGATATGCTCCAAATCCAAATAGTAGCGAGAACTTTTTAGAGATCTCAAGGGAACAGCGGGATTAACCCAAAGCGGCAAAGCGACCGACCTTTCCGTTGATGGGGCGTTAACTTTATCAGCTGAGTGAAAATCAGCGCTGCGCACAAAAATCATAATAATAAAAATGTTTTTAAGGCAGCGCTTTAAGTTGCGCATAAATCAGCTGGTCATGTGCGATTAATAAAACGGCGGAGAGATGGGATTCTGCCAGTGTTTTTTCTTTCTTTCATTTTAGTATTATTTTTCCCTCTTCCTTTTTGTTGTGGGGAGGCATTAAACGTGCGGCCCATAAAACGAAGACAGGTGATTTCGGTGATCGGTGGGCAGAAGCTGGGACTGAGGTTGAAGCTGAGGCAACCAACGGATCGTCAAGTGTAATCCGAGCAAGGAGGAAATGCAGGCCAAACGTGCGCCCAGCTGATGGCGTTGGCGATTGGCGATTGCTGATGTTGCAACTGCCAACTTGCAACTGCAACTGACCACAAAAACGGAATATAAGAAAATAAGGAGGAAAAAACGAAGCCAGAGCCGCAAAAACAAACCGTACAAATCACGATTTTCGCTGCGGTTGCCTCCGTGGCGCAGAAATTGAAAATGAACAGCACACGGAAAATAATTTCCAAGATCAATGAGATGAGATCTTATTTTGGAAATGAATAGAGACGTTGGAAGAACCCTAAAAATAATTTTAAAAATGTTTATAAACTATAATTATTGGTAGAAAATTTAAAAATTATTTCATAGTCATTTTTTGATGTTAATGTTATTTTTTCAGAAGTTAAAATTATATTCTATGTTCCTATCACAAAATAATGAAATTTTAAATACATTTTTCTTTGAACCTTCATCTTTCTAATTCAGATTAAAAATTCTTTCCAGTGCATGGCACTCAAAAAAAAGGCGCTCGAAGCTCTCTGGGCCTTGGCAAATTATGTGCTGGCAACTACAAATATGAGCGCGCGAATTAATCAAAAGGCGACGGTTGCCCAACGTCCCGAAAACCAAGTGGTGCAGCTGTTCGCCGGTGGCTCATCGGCGGTTCAGTGGTGCAGTTGGGTCAGTTTTTTGCTCAGTGGTGCTCAGCACACAGCCCATACAGCCCACATGCGAGCTGAAGGATCGCAGTGGACCAATCTGAGACAGGGGGTCAAATGTGGGGTCATCAAGTGGGTGGTTGGGTTTTAAGTGGGCTGTTTTAGTTTTGGCTTTAGTTTAGATATGAAACTCACCGGTGTGGATCCTTTGATGGGCCTTCAGATGCGAGCTTTTCGTGTAGACCTTGGAACAACCTGAAAAAATATTAATTAAAACACTGTTTTTGCATTTTTAAAATAAAATAATTAATGAGAAATTTTTATAGGATTTTTTTATCAGAAAGAAATACCATCTCTTTAATCTTAACTACATAAATAAATAATATGACTTATCAAAGAATATAAAATCGATAAGTAAACAAAGACTTCAAGTTGTCAAATTTCTTAGTAGAAACCATAATTAAATATTTGGCGCCTAGAAATCAAAGCATAAACAAACACATAAACTGAAGGGGGCCTTTTAACTATTGTAATTGCTATCTTCGTTAGGAAGACTTCGTTGCCAACACCAACTAAACCGAATTTATTGCCAATAATTGTTGATGGCTTCGGGCATCGGAAGACTATAACATTTTTCGAGTGCACTTGGTTGCACTTTTCACGTTCACCAAAAAATATCAGATTTACAGAGGAGCCTCGAATCTCGAGTTCCGATAGAAGAGCTCCATTCCCATAAAGTGGGTCAGTGGGCGTGGGCCTTTAATTAGCGGGTGAAAGTTGCACGAGATTCACTTGCGACCTGCAACTTTAGTAGCAACTGCAACTTGCAACACCGCAGAGCGAGTGACATTTATGAGGCATTTTACGTTGACCAAAAAAGGATTTCCCGAGGATCCCCGCACGTACGGCTCTAATTGAAAGCTGCCTGGGCAACGTGCCACGAAACACAATGCCTGGCTGCCTCGCTGCCAGTGAAGAATGTTGCTGACAAGCTGCAGCAGCAACTAGCAACTAGCAACATGCAACCTGCAACGATCGCCGACAGTTAGACAGTTGGAGATACCAAAAAGCGCTGCCGAATCGCAGGAACTCCTCCAATCCAACCCAATCCAATCCAATCCGAAGCAAACCTCACATATCTCACTGTCTGATGCGTGCGCTTATGGCATAATAACTTCATTTGGACAGCGTTCGCTGCGGCCGGAGTTGCCTCAAAATGGCCATGGCCAACGTGTCAGACAATTGTCAATTATTTATTAGTGGCAACGCACGTAGTCGGCTTCGAACAAGCGACATTGGGACACGGACGGAATGCGTCTGGCTGGGAGTTTAGATTTTTCTCTATTTTTATTTTTCTTTTTTTTGATTTTCAGCCTGAGCCAGACAGAGTCGCCTTAAGTGCTTTTGGGCTTTGGGTTCGTAATAGTGATCCATCGCTAGCTAATGGGTATTTGAAGCAGTTATTCTGGCGAGACTGCGGGTGATGTGATCTCATCTTCGGTTAAAAAGATTAAGCTACCTGCGAATAATGGGGGAAAAAATCTAGCACTAAGAAAAGCTTGTTTACTTTATTGGCAGATCTTAAAGTGATTCAAAGCCGATCTATTTTTAGATTCTTTATCGCAAAAGTGATGTTAGGTTGTTTTTAGATTAATTGACTGCTAATATTTTTTAATAGAACATTTTTATTGAAAGGTTTTTTTAATTTACAACCTTGCGGTTTTTTAAATTATAAATATGGGAATATTAGTTTTAACGTTTTTATAAATTAAAAGGATTTTAAACTTTAAGTGCAATTTGAAATTAAAGCAAATATGACAAACGGAATTTTGAACATTTGAACATTTTGAACATTCGGATGGTCAGTAAATATTGAGATTTTCTTGATAAGATAAACTCTTAAATAGCTCACAAAAAACCTTAAACAAAAAGACACATTATCTTGAATGACCATTACTCTTGTAATTATTTCTTGTGCATACTTTGAATAAAATTACTATAAATTCTTCTATAATTTAATTCTTTCAGCAGTACCGATCATATTTCTCCCCATCGATCAAAGCTGCTGACTCAACGATCTAGACGCCCACCTCTGACATTGAAAACGCACTTGGCCAAGCTAAAAAAAATAATACAACAAAATCATGCAACTGTAACAAAAGCCCAGGGAAGGTGGCCCGCAGCTCTTACATAAATATGGCAATTGGCTAATTAGAATTACAAAGAAGGCAATTGAAAAAGCGCCACAACAGCGACTGCGACACCAGAAACTTGGCAGCGGGAACTGTCAGTCGCACAGCAAGAAAACGGCAACAGCAAATAGCAAACATCTCAGCGAACAGAAAAGATAATAAATAAATGTATAGATAAATAGAGAATAAATAAATGCCGATTGGAAAAACGCGGCACGCATGCGCAATGAGGATCGCACGTGGAGTGGAGTTTGCTTGGCTCACCGAAGTGGGCGCAAAAGGGGACGGAGGGGTCACTTTGTTACGAAAAGTGTCGCAAAGCGCGCCAAATGATAAACGATATGGGGGCATGTGGAGACTAATAACGAGAGATGAGGAAGCGCATCTCAACAGATCTAGAAAATATGGAATTTTTTCTGCTTTTTTTCGTCGTAACTTTGGTAAAATAGGTGCTACAGGTAAAAGGAAAATTGCTTTCTTCATCTAATAACCTAAGCTAACAATCCTCATCACTTTTTTTGAAAATTAAAAAAAATATATATTTTTGTAAAATTTTGAATTTTGTTAAGGGGATACATCATCATGATTCGAAAAAAATTTACCAAAATTAAAGTTAGCAGATTTGAATGTCAATTGATTGGGAATTTTATTACGAGTTTAACAAGGTATGACACTCCATATTTGGAAAATTTTTAACTAAGTTTTGAAAAAAAAAACAGATTTTTGTTGAGGAAAATTCGGAACTACGATTTTATGGCAAAACTGATTTTTTTTAAGATTTTTCGCGGAATTTTTGTTAATATCTAGATAAAAGGCGATTTAATCATATTTTATTATAAGTATTTTTAAATTCCCAAAGTAGGTACATTTCCTGAACTTATTCTTTAAAATATTCTCTATAACTTACCCACGAAATCACAGTGGTGGATGCGTCGCTTCTCCAACTCGGGATTATTCCGTCGGTTGTAGCGCACCGTTCGCACGCTCATCAGGCTGGCGATGTGGGCGGCGGTTCCCGGTTGGTGGTGCGAGTGCCGGCCACGCCTCCCGCCCCCCGAAGAGCGGGGGGTGGGCGGTGGCTGCTGCTGCTGCTGTTGTTGCTGTTGCTGTTGCACCTGTTGCTGCTGTGGTTGCTGCTGCTGAATGGCACTGGCGGGTGTTAGGGTGGTCAGAGTGGTGGTGGCGGTGGGGCAGTTGCTGCCGTTGCTCCCCGTGACTGCCCCGCCCAGAAGTTGCAGCGTGGGCGGTGGGTTGAGTAGGCCCATCACATGACCTTGCTGATAGGGCGGTGGGGGGGTGGTACGTCGTTGGGCTGCCGCCGCGGCTGCTGCTGCCACCATCGAGCTGCCCGGACTGCCGGGATCCGAACTGGGTGGTGTTAAAGGTGGCACGAACATGTGGCGACTCGCAGAGGAGGCGGAGGAGGAGGAAATGGAGGAGGAGGAGGCCGAGGGGGTGCTGGGCGCCGCGGGGGGACACAGCTGCTGCAGTTGTTGCTGCTGCTGTTGTTGTTGCTGTTGAGCACCGAGTTGAGCTGTGGGCGTGGCAGTGGCGGAGGCGGTGGCTGAGGCAGCGGCTGATGGCGGGTGTATTTGGTATTTGGTATGGAAGGTCTGAAGGTTACAGAGGGGGAAATATAAAGGGAAATTGTAACATTGTATTTATAATATATAAAATATAATAAAATTTTTGTTTTTTTTTAAATGTTATATTACATTTTAAAATTATTTATTTATTATTGTTAGCAAAAGAAAATGTTTAATGAATGTTCTTAGAATTGTTTTCAAAATTACATGTTTTATCTTTAAAAAAATTGTTTTTTTATTCCATAAGGAATTTTAAAAATATTTAAATGCTTTAAATGCAATATTAAATATGCTATTAAAATATTTTTAGAGTTAGTGGTTCTTTTTTCATGTGTATGCAAATCCCCTGGACTCACCTGACTGCTGTGCCAGCTGTAGCCGTAGGAGTTGCTGCTGCTACCGTTGAGATAGCCGCCGCCCGATCCGGCGACCAATTGAGATGCGTACTGTTGCTGATAGGAGGAGGTGTTGCTGCTGCTGTCGCCGGGGGTCGCCAGCTTGGGGCTGTTGCTGCTGCTGCCGCCGTGCTGCAGATGTTGCTGCTGCTGCTGGTGTTGCTGCTGCTGCTGCAGTTGCAACTCCACCACCTCGACAGCGGGTGGCAGGCCAGGCAGCGCCAGGCTGGGATGATGCTGGTACAAGTGCTGCTGCTGCTGATAATGTTGCTGATAGTGTTGCTGCTGGTATTGCTGCTGCTGATGTTGCTGCTGGTGTTGCTGTTGCTGCTGATGTTGCTGCTGCTGTTGTCGCTGCTGTTGCTGCTGCTGCTGCTGTTTCTCCGTCTTTATCTCCAGGGGACTGAGCAAAGGGGTCGAGAAAGTCTCTAGCAGACTCTCATCGATCGCCTCCATCTTGACCTGCGGCAGCTGCGATGTTGCAGGTTCGCTGGTAGTGTTGCTGCTGCCGCTGCCGTTGTTGTTGCTGTTGCTACTGCTCAGCATGAGCGCGTTCTCCGGATCGATATTTTGGATTGAGGTAGTAATATCGTCCCAGAGCACGGGTCGCTGGTAGGGATCGTCCAGCGGATCGGCGTACAGAGCCTCTTTGTTTTTGGTTTCTGTGCAATCAAAAATCAAAATCGAGAATAAAAAAATCAGAAAATAAAATACAGAGAGAGAAAAGCGCCTTATAATCGCCTGCTAACACATTATGCAAATCGCGGCATGGGGAATTATTAATGTACACAATGAAATCTCGCATATGCATGAAATTTCTAAACAGATGCTCATTTGTTTGACTATTTTTAGAGCTGCTAGTTGCTATTTAGCGGCGGGCCCACAATCAGAATTGAAACTTTTCGTCTAGGGTTCAGGTGTTTATTGATAGGCTTTGGTTCAGTGATTGATGGTGGATGGTGGCTACTACAGTGGAGCTTAAATACGATGTAATTTAGGGGTATTTTACAAAGGAATTTAAGTATTTTTGTATTTTGACCAAATTAGAAATGTTTAAATATTTTCCAAATGATGTATAAATATCATAAATAATCCAGGTAATTCTTTAAAGACTTAAAAAATATTATAAAAAATGTTGAATCATGTATCAAATATTTTTAAAATTTAGATACGACCTTAAATATTTTTTAATAATTTATCTACAGCTCATTAAAAGTTCGTGGCGACCTCAATCAGTTTTCTGAGCAGGGTCTCCCGCCTGTCTGCCTTTTTTTCTCCATCTTTTGGGCGGTTTCAGATTTCACATTTCGGCACCGAGCCGCAAACACGTTGCCATCGCTTGTTTTTCTCTACTTTGCTATTGACTTGCGAGATTTCACCATGCGTGTAATTTTGTGTGCCCATCAAAGTTCCCATTCCCGATCCCCCCAAAAATACCCACCATATAGATACTCCTTGTCGCTGGAAGTCGCACCACCCGCTGACGCAACCACCGCACCACCATAACCCCCGAGTGCCACCTCGTAGGGCGCTCCATCGTACAGAGGGGCACAGCCGTAGGCTCCGTTTGAGTTGGAATTCGGGGATCCAGCGGGCTGCAGTTGCTGCTGCGCCTGCTGATGTTGCTGCTGCGTATGTGCAACATCGCTGGCGTACGAGGGGCCGGTGAGGTGGGGCCACGCCTCCGATGCACCACTTTCGCCACTCTGCAGGCTGTGCGAGTGGTGCTGGTGCAAATGGTGGTGCTGGTGGTGGTGCTGATGCGAGTGGTGGTGGTGCAGGTGGTGGTGGAACTGATGTTGCTGATGGCCTCCGGCTGTCAAGCTGTTGTTGTTGTTGCTGTTGCCGGTGGGTGTTTGGCTGCCGTTGCTGTTGTTGCTGCTGCTGTTGCTGCTGTGGTTGTTGTTGTTGTTGCTGCTGCTGTTGTTGTTATTGTTGTTGGCGGCTGCAGCAGCGGCTGCCAGAACCTCAAGCTCAACATCGGCGGGCTCGATTTTGTGCAGACGACCCATCAGCTCGTGCCGATAGTCCAGTTCCGGGGACTGCCAAAGGGAAAAAGCAAAGAGAAAAGGAAATATTTATGAGAAATTGAAAAAATACACTGAGAGAAAATATAAACTAAACAAGTAAGGATTTGAATAGATTTTTATCATTAAAAATACATTTTTAATTAAATATTTATTTAGAATTTACCTGATTCTAAATATTGATAACTATATTTAATTATTTTGAAAATACACATTTGGAACAATTTTAAAATCATATCTACATATTTTGTAATTACATTTGTAATGGACTAATTTGTATATGTGTATCCGTTAGCTATTCCTTTAAAATAAAATATTTTAATATTTCTATTGGGTGAAAAATCTATTTATTTTTCTTTGTAAAAAATTCTGAGACTCTTTCTTTTGCTGAACTAACAGCAGATAGTCTTAGTAACTCGTGTGCTATATGGTCCATTGGGCAATCAGAGCTCCAAACCTCCTCCCTCTTCTGTTTCTTTTTCTTCCAGCATCCAGCTCTATCTGCGCCGCTTCCCTGGCCATAAATTTTGATTAAACTTTTATCGCCCTGCAACACTTTCTGCTGCCACTTGAGCAATCTCGTGCCCCCTGTCCCCTGACCGTTCGAAACCGCATCATTCGACTCTTATCTTTACGTTCATTTCTTTTCTCTTCTCGCTGGCTTTATTTTTATTGCATTCTTCGCTTCAATTTCGTTTTGCTTGGGCACCGAAATTTGTTGTTTGTAGATTTGTCGTCTGATTTTTATTTTTATTTCGATTTTGATTTGGATTTTTATTTTTATTGCCGCCGCTCGGGGATCGGAAATCTTAATGCTCATGCGCTTTTAGGGGAATGCAAGTTCGTTGTCTAAGTCATTTGTTTTGAGTGGCGTATTTGTCGAATTTGAATATCTCTCTCGGCAGGCTGCGCAAACGAGAACAAATAGAAACGCGCTAAATTTGTGGCCTTTGTTATGCCAAGAGTGTAGATTTTTTAGTTTTTATTTTGAGGCCTACAAATTGCTAATTCTGGAGATGATTTACACATCAAGTTTACTTCCTTTATTTTATGGAATTTTCTTTGGTTAAAATAAAGTTTATATTTGATTGTGCTGTTACTTTTTCCTTTTGTTTCTTCGTCTTGTTTGCCTTTTGTTTTATTTAATTTCGAAGAGAACAGAGACTGTCTAATTTATGGCAACACATAAGGTGGTTTAGGCAAACATAATAATCATTTGGCAAATTAGTGAAATTTTTTATACGCCAACAGGCCAACAAGCCGGCTTTTCACATGCAAATGAAGGGGAGCCAAGGGCCCATATATCAAACCAACTGTCGATCGGCGAAGGCTGGCCATAAAAAACATAAAAAAAATAGAAGAAAGCTACGAAAATCTGACTCAAATTCGAGAAATGCCCGACACTGACTCACTCACTCCCCCCAAAACCAAAACCTAAAAACAACTTGGAAACTTCGAAACTCCGACAACAAATGTTGCCTCGTTTCTGTTTTATGAGCTGAAAATTTACGAGCGTGGCAAATTATTTTAGCTGCAATATTTTTGCGCCAGCATTTTTCATTTTATTGGCTGCGGTCGCTTTATTTTCTTTTTTTTTTTTGAGGCTATGGATTTTTGCCATTTTTTTTTGGGCTTTTGAGTAATGTTTGCTCGCCGCTGAGGTCAACATGGCGTGTGATAATTTTAATAGATTTCTGTGTTTCATTGCGGGTCGTATGAGTAATGTGAGTGTGTGGCTGCCATTTTCTGCGGTTTTCCACGAACCACGAGTTTTCCACTTTTCCACTTGGCAAATGTTCTGTACTCACTGGGGATTTTCATGGCAGCTAGGGCGCATTTAGTGGGCTCCCCACGCAAATGACCTCATAAGAATGCGTGGAGCGTCGTCGTTTTGAAAGCCTGGCGGAATCTTTAAGTGTGTTCGATTGGACTTTGGGGCACCATCAGCTCCACCAGCCAAACGGTAATTGTGTGACAGCCAACAGAACCACAAACATGAATTTCAATTATGAACTTCTGGTTCTTTTGGACATTTCTTCTTGGTGAGGTGAAATTATGCTCAGGTACTTATAATTTCAATTTTTTCTACTGCTTGACTGGCACGCCAAAGTATTTTTATTTATTTATGATTTTTTTTGTTAAACATTAAAATGCCGTTGTCAATAATCGCCTCTGAAGGCAGCGTCGATAAATGGTTATTATATGTGCGTATAAAAATTTGCATAAATTGTTCGGGAGAAGGGAGTTCGAACTTCGAGTGTAGGTACATATGTCCCGCTTTCGTCTGTGAGTTATTTGCCCGTTTGCGCCGAAGTCTTTGGACATTTTATGTTATTGTTTATTGATTTGACCCATTTGGAGTGTTGATGAATTGGGTTTAGTGTCTAGTTTTGACTCTCCTGCAGCTGTTGCAGTCATGTGATTCATATTCTTTGCGAGTGAGTGATTTATTCACTACGAGAAATTATAATTATTGAAGGGGTCAATTGCTTTGACAATCGCTTTTTGAGAGGTGTCATTGGCTTGAGTAGGGAATTGTGAATTAATGGCTGAAAGAGAGCTGTTTGACTATGGAAATATTTTCATTTTTGGAGGTGTCCATAATTATATATATTTTTTAATTATTTTGAGGTGCGATTTTGTCACTTTTTTAGGTGTTAGAGTTATTATTTATGAGTTAAAGAGTTTCCGCTCATGAATATTAATAAAAGAATTACATAACAGGTATAATTGTAACATTTAATATTTTGTTTAATATTTATATTTAATATATTTATATATATATTTAATTTTTATAATTATCTTTACTATTTTTTATATATTTCTTAATTAAATCCTAATTTTCTGTGAAACTCGCCACCATTCCCCCAAAATTCCACCTGTCGGCATTCCCAAAAGGGAAACAAAGGCTTCGTTTTCGTTTCGCCGGCAGTACTCGAATAATTTGAGTGGATTTTCTCATATTCCGCGACTCGCATTCGGCATGCCCCGTTTCGAGTGCATTTTGCGGCTGTTTAGCGATTCGTTTTGGAGATTTTTCATAGCCATCTCTGACTTTTATGTGGACTGACAGGCGATGGCGATGACTGGTGGCGGCTTCTGCCGCAGATGCAGCCAGTCAGCAAAACAGCAACCTGCAACCTGCAACCAGCAACATTGCAAGTGCAACTGCAACTGCAACTGAAACTGAGGTTGCTGCTTTGGCATTTCTCAGGTGAATGGCAGCCGAAACGTGAGGAGTTGCTTGAGTCTTAATGGCCGAAAGCGTTAAGTGCACAAATAAAGTTGTTAACTATTGTTTAACGCCACCGCCGCGGAAAACAAGACATACACATGTATATAGTGCTCGGGGTCCCCCCGAAAACCAAAAAACAAGACACAAAAAGGTAATATTTATATGAAAAACAAGCAGAAAGCATAAAAAATAATGACAAACATAAATATCGGCTTTACGAGTGCAACGTGACTTCATTTAAAATCGAACAAAATATGCAAAATAAAGCACTGGGCACTCGGCATTCGGATATACGCACCACTACACACGCAAACCGGTCGCACGTGCGTGTGTGTTCGTGGTCAAGAACCTCGGATCTCAAACCAAATTTGGCACTTGTTGTGAGAAATGGAATCAAACGGGGAAGCGTTTGTCTGCCTCTCTGAATTAAAAACCAAAAAAAAAAAATAAAACCCATAAAAATTAATAAATTTTATGTTCCATTATATTCGTTGTTACTTTTATTGTCTGTGTTTCTTTTACCCCGGCAACCGTTTTGCATTTTAAAGAGCCAGCCGTCCAACCGCTTGACATTTCTTTTCAATTTAACTCTATCTATTAACGACCATCAATATGCCAAAAATACCGAAATAAAAAAGATGTCAAATTGCCAACTGTTTATTTGGATAAAAAGCTCTATTAATGCGAGAGGCATTTTCTTAGCTGCGTCGATTCCGATATTGAGCCATAAAATTGGCCATTTTGCGTTCGATCTTGGGACAGCTGCGCATAAAGTCGCTCATAAATGTCGCTCCATAAAACCCGTAAGAAATGGGTCCAAATCATATCAATAACAAAGGCATTTGAACTGCGGGAAGCGATAAATTAAATGCCTAAATGGTTTTGACCAGAATGGGGTTATAAAAAGTCAAGTCAAGAGGCGAGAGAGGCCCACACAAAAGGTGGATAGGAAGATAGCGATCTAATTGGTGCTGTAATTCCCGAAAAACATATATAACAAAATATCATCATAGGCTTTCTAAAGCGATTGCCCCGAGACTTCATTAACGGCACGTGCCGAATATCGGTTCATCAACTGAGTAAGCGTAATTCCCCCCACACACCCAGTGCAAAAAAACAATGAAAGCCTGATAACAGCCAACAAAAGCCAAGATCCATTGGGGGGATAAGCAGAAGCGGCCTTCAAAGCCGGCCAAAAGTAATTGCTAGGCCAAGACAAAAGGCCAGAAAAAAGAAAGAAAGGCCAGAAAGCAAGAAAGCAATGGTAGAAATGCTATAGCTATAGCACCAAATAATCGTTAAATAATCGTCGATGGTGTATTGTTCGCGAATCCAATTGCCAATCGCCGCCCCAGGGCCAAACTTCAATTGAGTGCAAAAAATATATATAAAGTATATGTATATTTCCTGAAATTTGTCTAATGAAATGGTGGCTAATGTTTATTAGCGCCGCCGAGTGAAAGTTTCCATTAAGGCAGGAAGCAATAGACTTGACAGAACAAGTTCGTTGCCTGAGTCTTTCGTTTGGCTTGGAGTGGCGAGGCGAGAGAGCAAGTTCGTTGCCAGAGTCTTTCGTTTCGAAACCAAAACCAATGTCAAATCCCAGGGCTGAACCCTCTGTATAAGCCCACGGATCCCCAGCGAATTAACCCCGAACCCCGGGCGCCATAAAAACTAAACGCTGGTCCATAAAACCCCCCGAAGATCGTAAAAATAGTATAACCTATATGCTTATATATATGAATGGTTTGTTTTGGCCATGACTCAGCCAAGGAGCGAA